AAATATAAACATTTCTCGGTGGTTGGGCCCGCGGTTCCCTAAATTTTAAATCAACCCGCGCCCCACCCCACGTCGAATGATATATATTTCGAAACTTTTTGTTTATTTTTATTTTTTGGTGGAAATATCAGGAATTTTTCGACGTAGAAATTTGACAAAAATCGAAGTAGCCAGATAGACCAACCAAGTACATCATTCAATGTAGTTTGGGGCGCTGGTTTCGAATATGATATTTTTATTGCATAAAACTTGATTCCCGATGATTAAAATTGAGAATACCGGCAGAATTCCGATTTTTCCGATTTTTGCAAAAATCGGAAAAACATTGAAACATTGAAAATTGTTTTGTCTCAGATTTGAATAAAAAATACATCATCCTGTGCATAACTTTATCCTGATCAAGAATATCACGTTAATTTTACATTTAGAGGCATTTGAAAAAATAAAATGATTTTTCTCTAAAAGATGTTCATCTGTGCTCTCCTATACAAATTGGCTCCCAGTCGTCTGAAAGCTTCTTATATACTTTTAAAAATCCGAGTACTATATGTAAAAATGCGCACTCTCTCCGAATATCACGTCCAAAATTCTATTGTAGCACACTAAAATGCCAAAAAGCTGAAAAACTGGAAAAATCCATGGAATTCACCTCTCTTGTTTCAATGATAGGTCTGCTATACTACAAGGAGCCGTCTGCATTCCAATTTTTTGCCAATATGGGCAGTTTTGAATGCTTTACCCAATGAGCAGAAATAGAGAATTCAAAAAAAGTGTGCGTCATAGTTAAAATCGAGAATTACCGCTAATTACACTGATTTTACGTCACAGTTGTTTCGACCTTTTGGCGCTTTAATGTGCTACAATAGGATTTTCGACGTGATATTCGGAGAAAGTGCGCATTTTTACATATAGTACTCGGATTTTTAAAAGTATATAAGAAGCTTTCAGACGACTGTGAGCCAGTTTGTATAGGAGAACACAGATGAACATCTTTTAGAGAAAAATCATTTCCTTTTTTCAAATGCCTTTAAATGTAAAATTAACGTGATATTCTTGATCAGGATAAAGTTATGCACAGGATGATGTATTTTTTATTCAAATCTGAGACAAAACAGTTTTCAATGTTTCAGAAGTAGGATGGAAATTTTTTCGAAAAAAATAAAAGTAAAAATTTTGAAAAACGAATGGGCTATCTTGTTCAGAATTCGATGCGATTACGCCCATATAGTTTTAGGCCGACTTCATCGAAAACCCTCTCACGTCCTTTGACTAAAGTAATTAACTTTTATGAACAGTCCTAAAAAAACCAAAAGGTTGTGTGAGAGAAAAACGAACAACTAACCAAATCATCTGGTTAAATTTTTGTAAAAACTATTTCAAGTTTCTCTAGTGTTTTGTAGAGGTTAAACAGTTTGTGAAGTTATGTCAAAACATAACATATGAGGAATAATAGACTTTTAATCAGTTCACTTTCGAAAACTGACGTTTACTAGATATATTATGTATGCATTAAAAGAAGCTTACAGTTTAGATTTGTTATGACTAACCTAAACGGTTGATAAGACCCAATAACCATACACATACGCGGTTGCTTTCTTAAAGATTACCAATTAAGATTGAAATGCGAAATCTGTCACATTTGCCAGTTTTTATTTAAGAACCCGTTATTCTTGATATTTTATTCTCAGTTAAACATTTATCAAGGTCCGAAACGAAACGTTTGAGACAAAGCGAGCGAAGTACTTCTGGTTTTTCAGCTTTTGCCAATTAATATGCGGGTATTTTGTAGGAAAGTGCAGATTCCCTTACTAATGAGCAACGAATGCATTGGAAAAGGTTTGACAATTAAGGATTTACTAATTCGGTGGAGAAAAAGTAAATAGGCAATAGTCACAACTGTGACAGATACCGAGCGTATCTCGCTACTAAAGTAATTTTCTTCTAAAGCGGTTAAAATTAACGAGTTCAAATTTGACAAATATCGGTGACTTTTTATGCGAATTATAGAGATAAACAAAAATTATCGAAACTCAGCTGCTTGTCCGGTATTTAGAGATTAAAAGATAAAATTCATATTTAAAATCAGCGTCAAAAAGTGAGTATAAGAATGTTGTTTTCGAGTCGTTGATCAATATTTTGGTTTCTTGCACAACTATGTCTTTACTCTCTTCCAATTTATTGATTAAATTAGAAATGATAATGAAAAATAAAATGAATTTATAACTTGTTTCAATATACTCATTTTTCACGCTGATTACTTATGATACAGTAATGAGACAAAATTGGTCTGTTTTGACTGATAATTCGATCTGTGAACTAAAACGAACGCATTTTTTAATTGTCAAATTTTAGACGTAAATACTAGATGATGAACTTTTGTCTTCTTATTTTTTTGTTGTCATCCACCCTTATCGCACAGTGTTAAATAGATACAAAATATTTTACAATATTACAATATAAGATCGGTACCTAAGGCTAGTTGTTTCATAGAACAAATTAAAATTTTAATCATGTTAGCTATTCAGATTGACACTATTATCTTATCGTTTTCTTGACGATTCTAATTAATGTTACGCTTGTAGAAATTCGAATGTACAAAGAGATTTTGTCGACATTTGTACAGCATTTTCAGAATATTTTATTCATCTGCTATTGTTGAATAATAGAGAAAAACAGGAGATATGCACAAACAACAAAAATGAATGCTTTATTAATAAAAAAAAGTATAAATACATCGTATGTTTTTTTCTGACACAGGTTCGAACATGTCTGACAGATATCAAAGCGTTCACTCATTTACCACAAACACTTCAAGACACGTTATTACAAAATGCATGGTACGAATGGTAAGTACAAAAAGTTGATTTTACTCGATATATTCTTCTTTTCGTTTACTTGCAGTTATGAACAACGGCGAACAATTGTCCGACAAGGTGAACGTGCTGATTGTTTTTATATGATTTTATCCGGTGTAGCAATTCCGACGTATAAACGAGCTACAGATGGCAATATTGAAACATTAAACGTAATTGAAAGAGGAGCGACATTTGGAGTAAGTTAATTGGAGTCTCTGTTTAGCGATTTTTGCTTCGACAAAGTATAGTTCATTAATTCTATCTATTATCAATGGTCACTAATTCGTTACTAACATTAGATCTAAGCAGTACTCTTAAATTAAAACCATGATAAATGAGAGCAATCGTCGTACTACAGCATATGACATGTTATTCGAGTCTATGAAGGGCTCTGTGTGTTACTCGAATAATCAGAGAAGTTTATATGAAACATTTTTTTAGGAAAAAGCATTAATGACAAATTCACTACAAACATTTACAGTAACTTCAAAAACCAAAATTGAAATGCTCGTACTATGGAGGGAGGTAAGTGTAGTCAGTTCTTCAATATTAAATTTTCATTAAACGATTAAATTGTTAAAAAATAGTCACGCATACACATGAGCATGATATTTAATCCTCTTATAGTCATTATCCATTGTTGGCATTTTATCTAGTAATTGATACGTTCGAAAAGTAAAAATAAAGAAAAGAATATTATTTTAAAAATTAATTGAACATGTCTTTCTCTTTCTGTCTACTATCGACTACAACACTACAACAAGAGTAGAGACTATTTTTTGCTATTGTTCTTTAGGATTTTAAAAGAATATTTATGTCATCAGATCGTCATTGTAGTAAAGAAAATCTTAAATTTTTGAAGTAAGATAACAATAACTGATTGATTAGCAAATATTTTAAAAATAATATCATTTTTTTAGAACCTGTGCGCCAGTACTTCGTGGTTTTCCAGTAGAAAAATTAAGTGAGTTTCCACATGCTATACAACATTCTAATTACAAGTAAGTTTAATAAATTATTAATATATAAGGGTAATTTAGATATAACTTAGATATTTTAAATTAATATGTAAATTTGTAGACGTGGTGAAGTGATATCAAGAGATAGTAGACGAATAAAGCACATTTTCATTGTTAAAAAGGGAGCACTATCAATATGGAAACGTTTGGATCGTACAAGACATTTACAGCAGCAAGACAAAGAAGAAGAGGAAGAGAATGTAAAAGGTATAATTATCTTTCAATATAGCGTTTATAATTATCATTTAAATAATACATTTTAGATTCAGAACAACCAAGTAATGAAGATCATAGTATGTTTACTGAAATAAATTTAAGTGGTGATGTAGATGAGACGGCAGCAAAAGTAAATGATATTAATCCTTTGGAAGCAGATTTTCGTCTAAGTAAAGCAAGACGATCTCCAATGGCTGATATTACAAGTGAAAATCGATCTGCATCATCATTATCATTATTAAACGAAGGTGCAGAAAAAATATTAAGAGGAGAAAAGGTATATGCAAGAAACAATACATAATTATATTCAAACTCTTCATTTATTGTTCTTGTCTATAGCGTTTTCCCGGTCTCTTTGATACTCGTGATCGATTGAAATTAATCGATTATGATTCACTAACAATCAATGCAAAATCCAATTCTGTCGATCGTAATGTTCATTTACAAACTGGACGAGCCGCACCAATGATCACAAATCAAAAACGTTTATTGACGCCAGTAAGTGTATCTCACGATATCTTCTTGCAATTAATTAAATGAGTATTTTTCTTTTTGTGTGTGTTGTTTAGTCATCAAAATCGAAGCTGATTCTACCAAAAAAAATGCTTTATTTACATGTCAAAACACTTACCGAAGGGCAACATTTTGTGAGTATTTTATTTTCTTAAACATATTTTGTCTTCTAAAACTACGACTGATATACTGATTTGGATATCTATCTGTTCAGGGTTTATCTGACATGCTATTTACTGATCAACCAGCGTTAACTATTATATCAAATGATTGTGAATGTATATTATTATTAAAATCATCATTTATTCGAATTGCTCCCGATGCATACAAAGAAATGATTCGTCGACATGAAATACCATTTCCTACTGAAAATGATTTTTATAAATGTTATCATTCAAACGAAATATGGAAACGTTATGCAAAAGATGTTTATAATGATGCATTTAAACGAATGAATAAACATAAAGAACGACAAGAATTATTACCAATTCTAATAAATCAACAAAAAATTACCAATATCAGTGATCAATTGGAATATGTTAAGTGATAATACTAACAACATTTAGATAATATTTAACGAATGATACACTCGTTATTGTTGCAATAATAGACTATTTAACACGCTTATATGAAATTAACGTCTTGTACATTTGTCAAAGTTAATTTTTGCTTTTTTTATGTCACATTCTTTAATTCTAAAATCGGTAAAAATCTAGAAGTACATGTTCAATATTGGCGAAACGTCTCTTCAGCCAAAAGTAGTAATTCAATCTAGTGTTTGATCTATACTTTTGCAGCCTCAATTGGCTCTATTTCAAGTGTAATACAATAGGCAATTATTTCCTATCGTTTTTTGACTACACAAACTTTGTTGTACATTTCAGTTTAGTGTTCATTTTTTTTGTCTCCTTGTATTACGACTAATTTTGAAAAAAATTCGTCTCCTATTTGGATAAATTCTTGTGAAGCACAATTATTCCCTACTTTGTGTATGTGTCAAAGCTCCGAATGGTTCAAAATTCTGAGTCCAGTCCGAGTCCATGAAAAACAGTTTTTTCAGTCCATGGACTCTAAAAAAGTAGTCCAATGCACAATACACAAACAACTTGCTTTTTTACTGATCTGATTTTTCCTCGATTCAAGTGAATCCAAAATTATTTTCCAAGTCCAGTGCATCGTCTCAAAAGTTTGAGTCTATGAGCTCAAAAAATTTTCAGTCCAGTCCGCGTGGATTCGACTATGGACTCAGTTCAGTCCATACGAAGCTCTGGGATGTGAAAAATATACCTCATTTCATTGAACATGCACTGGGTGATTCAACAAACGTTTACCTCTTTAGAAGAACAACTGAATGTGCTCTGTTATAAGGCACCTGTTGACATCATACATGTCATATGTCGTCATGCACAATATTCGCAGAAGTCAATACGTGCACGGTAGATTCCAAGACACATTGTTTTACAGTGACAAAGTCGAGGTGTTTTTGTCTAATGTAGTTGAATCAACATTTTACAAGTATACCGTTATTTGTTTTCTGTTGCAGGAAAATTTGATAAAATTTACACATAAAATTGTTGGTATGAAATAAATCCAACCGTTCATCAGAAACATCGTTTATGATATACTGTTGTCCTTGATACAAATTTATTACGAATATCTCATTGAAATCAAGTATTTGTGTTACTCTTCAATTTTTATTTTTATACTGACAAAATCTTCAACATCCTAATTCATTGCTGGTAAACACTCATGTAATTACTTCATAATATTTATTCTTGTCGTGTACATTGTTAATTAACGGCATATCACGAGAAAGAAATTAGGAACAAGAGAGTGAGAAAGACATACTAGCATACCAGGAAATATTCGTGCAGAAGAAAAATAAATAAATAATTCTTCATATATATAATCAGTGAACATAACAAAGTTTAAGTTATATAGTAAGTTATATTTGATAATAATCTAATTATACCACTCTTCGAATCCAAAAGCTAAAACTGCATAACTGTGTTATTAACCATTGAGAAGATGTCATGAATTTTTTGTTTACTGTCTGGTCATTTTGCTTTTTTCATTAGCATCGTGATGCCCTTTACCTTGCTTCCAAGAAAAACACGCCTAGTATTTTCTCCTTCTCTTCTTAGAGAGAAAAAAATGATGCAAAACAAACTTTTTATACATACTACCAATAAAAACTATCAATTAACATATCTAACATTTTAATCAAACAGTTTTACTGTACATATGTTATAAATTTGTCTTCGAGGTTTATAATCATTTGAGAGGTCGTTTAAAGAACATATCAAAGTAAGTAAGAAAACGTTTTGCTTATCGTTTAAATAACTTTTTTTCGAGAATAATATCTTAGAGTAAATGTACTTTTGATCACCAAACATTTTTAGATACAAATGATCAGCAAAAAAAGATAGATCTACTATATCCAGTATTGTTGTCGTTCGATCGAATTGCTTTATTTTATTCATTCCTGTGCGCCATATAATTCTATAAAATTTAAATTGTTTTTCAACATATCCTATTCCTCTAGTAAGTATGATTTTATTTATGTCTTTCTTGGATATTCTGAGGATTTTCGTCAGTCCGATCTTCACCTTACCCGTACGTATTTTGCCTAATATCACAGTGGTACATACTGTGCCCGTCTCTTCCTAGATTATCTTAGGCCCCATATACCTTCCGCTCGTATCGTACATATGGCTCTAGTTTTTCCTCTTACGGTAGCAGTCTGTTACTTGTTACACTTGGTCGTAGTTTACATATTACGTATTGCACTCATACACCTGAGTGCAATACTACAGCTGCTCATCGCTCTCGGCGTTTCATTTGGCGAGTAGTATCTATTAGCCTAGGATCCAAGTAGTCAATGAGCGTTCGGAAATACGTCAAAATCTGGATAGAAGGGTCAGTACTTAGAACGCTGTCTGGCGTCCTAAGGTACTGACCTTTTAAATTTTTGTTTTTGGCTATCTAAAAGATTCCTCAAAATCAGCTTACTCTTTCTTGCTCTCAATGATCTAAACAGTTTCGTCCAGACCGTCATTACCATAGGAAATATCACATTTCACCCTTATTCTTATGTGCTTATTCTTAAATGAGCGTCATAATGAGCAATCAACGATTGCCCATTATGCAACATCCAATCAGAGCTCCGAGTTTTCCCGCTTCATTTCCACATGCTGTTATCTTTCTTAACATACGCCAGATGGTGCTGATTGTTGATCTCAATTTCAGAGCAAAAACTTATCGGATTTGGGCGTAAAAGATTTCAAAAAGCAGGGAGGGGGATCTCCCCTCAACTCCTCTTGTTGCGGCGTCTGTACACACAGTCAAGGACTTGGAAACAGAAGTCCTCACAATTCCTATAAAGCATAACTCAGTCTACATTTTGTTTCTACGTTTGCCTGATGCATAGTGCTTTAAGATTTTATTTAAGTTTCGAAAAAATGGTTTATTTTAATTAAATATCGTTG